CTCTCAGAGATTAGTAATGTATCACTGTGTGTTATATCAAATGAAGTCACCTAATATAGAAAACTGGTTTTCACTTCGCGAATGTGAATCGTTATTTTAAGGCAGACATAATTTAACAGTTCGTCTGATAATATGAAATGAAATAATTGCGGGTGCTAACTGTTTCATTCACCTGAGCAGTCACAGCCTCGATGAGTTGATGACCAACTAAACTGATACCCAGAAAAGAAAATGCACCAATTACTAAGCAAGAGAGGTTTCTGATTGCTTACAAAGGGTAGAATGTACTGCAAAACACTGAACTTGTCATACTCTGTAATTTTGAAACAGAGTCATTGAATCAAAATTTTCAAGGGCCTCATCTAAATATTCTATACTACGACTGATCACAGAGTCGGGGGCACAGCTGTTGGGACTCTCGCTGACTATGCACATGGTCCGGGATTCTATCCCCGGCCGACACACTCTTTTACCTCACCAAGCCAGAAATAAAGCTGCTAAGGAGGAAAGGTTGAACATGGGGCTTGCAACCTCATTCTGTAAAAATAAACACTATTACAGAAACTTAAAGCCTCTAGCTTGAAGCCCTATGTTCCTTTGGGAACGTGAAGGAATAAAAAACGACTGGCCACAGGAGTACGAATATATTAATATATTGTCTTCGATTTAGTGGTGTTACCACGTTTCTCTAAAACATTCACTGTTTCTTCAGTATTAAAGTTTTCTACCGCATCTAGTCAAATGATTTCCACGTGTTTATCCTATTCCTTCTGCCTTCTTCTCGGTATGCAGGTGTTATGTGACAATTTGAGCCATCATATAGTAAAATTAGGTCCTTTGTTTGGCTTTCTATCTATTACTTGATTAAGATTGAGCAAAATGAATATCATGAAACTGTTTTAAATACAAATTTAAGAAGAAAATAAATAGTAGACAAGTGCACATCACAACAAAATACATTAGAATGTAGGGGGATTTTCCATAACTTTTGTTACTGAAAAATCAAAAAAGGCAGTTTCTAAAACCTTCCCTATAAGAACAAAAGGAAAGTAATAAAAACTCACTTTGATTCAACAGACAAAACTATTCACAAACAAGCAGTAGATGTCTACACTTGTCAGATTTGAGCTGAGGAGAATCAGCAACACTAAACTCATCTAAGCTTTTCATTTATTTTATTTAAAACATGCTCAAAATCAGATTAGAATTAGCACATAGAATAAACAAAAAAGTATAACAAGAAGACAGAAAATGGAAAAAATATTCCGATGGACGATATAATAAATCAGACTCATTAGGCAATCGTCTACGACAAGTAGGACTGGTTTGAAAAACGAGACTGAAGTTCAGAGTCTAGATTCGAAAGATCGGTCCAGAAGGACAATGACTGTCCAGAAATAACAAACAAGGCTACGTCTTAAATAATCTACAAGATTTCTACCTTTGAATATAAACACTTGTACATTTGTCATATATAACTTATAATCTAACAATCAGAAAAGATACGTCAAACGTGTATTAATCCAGATTTATTGTCACTTTAGATTAAGTTATCATTCACATATTGTTTTTAAATTTCGTACGTGGATAATGCTATTCAAATCACTAAACAACATTCACAACCTAACTAGCTGTTTAAGAAACAAACCCACAAAAATGGAATCTGAGACATAAATTTAAGTTTCAAATTTATAGATTTCAAAAAACAGGCAACTTCGAGCATACATAGAGTAAGTGAGTACGAAAGACTGAAGCCCCGAAGCAAGTTTATTCCTAAATGGTAATACAGAAAACGAAACCTGATCATGCAAGTAAATTTGTGAGCTAGCAGTAGCTTACAATTAATTTAGTACATATCGATGTGGCCTTGTCACCGTTAATCAGACTTTTCACCTACTGTACCAAATGCCGCAGTGTAGTGCTGCCTTAGAAGAAAGAGCCTCACACTACGTAGTTTACACCGCACAGACCACACGAAAGTCCACTGGTTCAAGTTGCCCCACTTTATAAAGCACACAAAGGTTAAAAAAAGAACACGGGGAAACTAAAATAAACAGAAATGTATGGCAAAAAAAACAACTACATGGAAAATAATGATAATTCAATGGATCTGAAGCGTCGGTGGTATAGCGGTTAGGACGCTCGCCAACCATGCACATGGTCCGGGGTTCGATCCCCGGCCGATGCACTCCTTTACCTCGCTAAGCCAGAAATAATGCTGGTAAAGAGGAAAGGTTGGGCATGAGGTTAGCAACCCCATCCTGTAAAATAAACACTGCTTCAGAAACTTCAAGCCACTAGCTTGAGGCCCTATGTTCCACTGGGAACGTGAAGGAAAAAAAATGGATCTGAAAGATTAACGAAACTGAATAAATCTGTGCTATAGAGAACAACCTTGAGCCATGTCACTGACAGTCTCCAGTCATCGCTTCTTAGCGTCTCAAGGACCACAATTAGGCAGCCTACACCCCTCTACGCGCCTCAGAAGAACAGCCAAAGACTTCATGGATCCATACCAGGTTTTGATTTGATCAACCCTAACCTATGTCGGCTAACACTGCTCAACGAAGAAGACGACGGAATGGCGTGAGTAACGCATGTACTAATCATTTCAATGGCTGCAGCTTGACATCCACATCGATTGGTTTCCCCTCCTTACCTAACACTACTCTTAACCTCACCATACTGTGCTCGGTTACACGCGGAACAAAACACAGGAACTTGTTGAAAACAACTAGTCTCTTCATGTCAGCCACTTCCAACGATTGTGCTTCACATCCATAAAGGAAGATGAAGAGAATTTTTGGCGTAGTATATACATCCTTGGATCCATAGCTGGATATCGCGTTTACGCCAGACATGACGTGAGTTGGCAAATACCACACAAGCATGTTGTAGCCCAGATGAGATTCGACCAGCAGTCAGTTTATTGGTGCTCGTTCAGCCAGCCAAGTAAGTGAGCTGGTCAATATGCTCAACCTTTTCACTTCGTATTCTTATACTAGTATTCAATGTAGCTCAGTCCGTCGGCATCGTCTAACATTTATCAGGGGTAAATTGTATTCTAAATACTCCATTAAATTTGTTCGACGTGTTCAGAAAATCTTACATTTTATCAGCGCCTTCACTTAGAATGAGGACATTATCTCAATACTTTAAATCGACGATACTGTTCCGTAGTGACACTTATGTATAAACCATAGATTTCGCTCACTCAATTTGATCATAAACTGGCAAAATGAATATGAAGTAAAACTATCGAATGAAAATAATGAACCTGTAATAAATATTTGATGAATACAGGTATAAGATTCTTGACACGATAAGAAGGTATTTAAACATGTGATTTAAGCTAACCACTAGCTGGAATGCAAAATTCTTTGTTAGTTATTTATTATTATCTTTAGCAAATCTATCACAACCGTCGTAGCTAACGGATGGTTCGGCGTGTATTCCGAATACTATTTTTAGAAAATATAACCTTGATACTTTAAAATGATAATCGTATCCACTCTGTTTCAGTTTCATATGAAGGTATGTAAAAAACTAAATTTTCGTTGTTATCGATAACTTGGTACTAAAATTCACACAACATTTTCTTTTAACGCTGTCTTTTTCTAGCCAAAACTACACATGTTAGAAGCTTAAAAAGTCTTTTAAACTTATTATGCTAGTAAATTTACAATGTAAATTTCAGAACTGTGAGGTCAATAATATGCCGACTACTTTTGTGCTCCAAGCTACACACTGCAGCTTTCAAAACAATCAGTGATAGCAATAAGTACGGTATAATCAGTCATATATGGATGCTACCCCTGAAACACGCATAATTCAATCGTGTAATTATTCGCATAACCAAATGACTACTATGATGAGTTACTGCGACCCGTACTTCAAAAGCTGGTGGTTTCAGTGGTGCTATCTGCGACTATTTGAATAACCGAATCAGTCATTCCATCGGAACACATCTGTCTGCTTTCGACATAGAACTTTGCACCGTTGTGCAGCAGTTCAAGTCGCCACACTCCATGTAGCAAACAAAGCAACAGAAGGAAGTAGAAGAAATGCATAATAAAGACAGTAAACAGAGGTGTGGGACAAAGGAGTAGCAATAACGATGAACAATATGGTTTCATTAGGAATCACAAGTCACAAGGAGTGGATGCATCTGCACCAGCCATTGAGAACGAATTTGAGCCATATCACCAATTGTTTCCAGTCATTGGTTTTTGCCGTCTCGAGAAACCCAACCAGTCACTCAGTCTACACTTTCCTACGTGACTCAAATTAATTGTTGTGGATTTCATTCACTGGTGAAGCCATGTTTTGGTTTGACCGCCACTAGCTTTTTTCTAGCCAGACCCTATGTCAGCTAACATAGCCCGCCGGTCGAGGAAGGCGATGACTATGTATACGTAACACATCTCCTAACCATCTCAGTCGATGTAATTTCACAGCCGTGTATATTGATTTCCCCTCCTTACCTAGCACTCGACGCCTAACCACAGTATTGCTCACCTTATTATACGACTTCACATGGGAGATGCAACGCAGGCACCTATGATCGAAGACAGCTAATATTTTCATGTCTTCTACTCTCAATGACCAGGTCTCACAACTATAAAGGAGGACGGAGCGGACTGTTGAGCAGTACATCCGCCCTTTAGTCGATAGTCGGATATCACACCTACGCCAGAGACGGCGTAAACGGGGATATGCGAAACTAGCCCTCTGTATCCGTACTGAGATTTCGTCAGAGGTCAACCCGTTGGGGCTTATGGTTCTTCCAAAATAAGTGAAGTGGTCAACGTACTCCACCACTTCACTTCCTATTTCTAATCTAGGAGTCGGTGTAGTCCAGTCCTGTAACATCATCTTGAATTTGGCGGGAGCGAATCGCAAGCCAAACATTCGTAGATTGCAGCTCAAGGCGTTTAGAACACTCTGGATTTTGTCAGTATCCTCGCCCAGGAGGACTATATCATCTGCATATTCTAAGTCAACGAGATTATTCCCTGGTAGCATGTCAATCCCAGGGTCTCTGAAGTGAGTTAGGGTTAAATCCATTAGTACATCTATGATGAATTTGAATAGGAATGGGGATAATGGGCATCCCTGACGAGCACCACTAGTCGTCACCACTTCAAATGCCGAATCGCCGTAAGCCCCCACCTGGCTGCATGAGTTTGAGTAAAGTGCCTTGATCAGTGCAATGCATTTTCTCGGCATTCCGTTTACAGTCAAGCTTCGCCAGAGAACCTCTCGGTCGACAGAATATCGGAACACACAAGAGAAGGCCTCGAGAACAGCGAGAAGCGATACCTTAAAGTAGGCAGTCCATGAATAGTGATGGTCAGCGAAAGCTACTAATTTTGTTGAAATAAGTGACACTTCAGCAAATTCATTAAGGAAATGTGTATGTACCATAAGATCGAGGGACATATCAAGGGTATGCCCACAATAAATGCTACCGAAATAACAATTTGAAAAAAGGGATAGCAAATGTGAGCTTCAGATGTTATTACATCGTTATTTATTTCATACCCACAGCCCTATAGACACTGAAAAGCCTATGAGCAACGTGAAACAGATAGCACAGAGTTTTGTTTCGACAACGCCGGTGTTGTTAAGAAAGACTAACCGAGGGCTGTTGATTAACCTGACCTTTTTATCTGGTATGTGGAAACCATGTGGAATTTTCCCAATCTGATTTCAATTACTGATCGAATCTCAAAAAAGAGTCATCTCCGTAGGATGATAGACAAACAATTAATTTCAACGCAGTCTTCCATATTTCAAGTTTCACAATCATTCAGCCTTTAAATGAAGCTTGAAAACAGCAGATCTGAGAAAGTCGAGTAATTTCTAAGTGTTTACTAGATGCACTTTCACAATATTGATCCTTGTAACACAGGTCAATTCGCCACAGTCAACAATAGCACAAAAACGGGGGAGTTTCCCATCTCCTCGTTTCATGAAGATACCTAGGTGGAGTACAAGACATTAATTGAAGCTAATGGAACAGATACAATGAGACGTAAACAATATTAATAGAACACAAAATACACAAGAATAATGCGGATTAACAAAATGAATCGGGTGCCAGTGGCTGAATGGTATACGAGCTTGCCTTGTAACCGGAAGGTCCTGGGTTCGAAACCCAGTGGGTGCGTACTGCCGATGATTCCCAAACTAGGATGAAACAGCAGCTGTCCAGTACTCCCTGGTTTTCAATGGTTCTCTAACTGATATCGATCCGTGATCAACTCGTAAAACATAACTAATCCTTACAAACCAAACTATAGAAAATGAAAATATATTGACTGAACTGCGCCATATATTTGTCATACAAGGGCTAAACGCTCCTTAAACACTGATATAGAAATCAGGCTTTGATTTGAAGATTCACTGTGTGATTCCCAAACAAATCAAAAGTATTTGAACCAAATGAAGTACATGCGTTCATTTCTAGTCAGTTGTACTGTCTAACTAATTTAATACTACTCTTCAGTCACAATCACAGCATACTTGGCGAAAATTTATCTTTTTTAACAGTACTGAAATCTCCATTAGCAAATATTATACTAATATCGAGATCAGTATCAAAACACGTTAAATAAACAAACCGTTGTAGACCAATTTCGGACAGCTATTTTCGAAATCCACTTCTGAGGAACCGAGAACTGTATAAGGAAAGAAAAGTAAAGTCTGTCTGACCAATATAATCTATTTTTTAAAACGATGAAATCACTTAAATAATTAGTGAAAAAGTTATAACTGTTACTTCTGAAACAATGGGGACATCAAAGAAAATGACCTTCGTGCAATGTACCTTTCCACGCGTGCCAAAGTAAAGAATACATTCTTAATAATATTAGGATATACTAGTTCGCCAATACTATTGTTGGTTTTACCATTTAACTTGGCATATACGGTGGGAGAGAGTGTGGTGACTCCAATAACAGCAATAATCATATTAGCGTTATTGACGTAGATTGATGAGATATACTACGTGAGACACTATTCTTGATGCTGCTGATTTTGGTTCCTTTATCTATCTACTGGATTCAAAATGAAGATAACGTCTTTAAAATCGTTTATTCTGTAAACATATGAAATCGACCTTCTAGCTGTGATATAGTCAGCTATTTAACACATAAGAATGATAACAGATTTCATATGGTTATTTGTCTACTTACAAACTGATATCCCTCACAAACCTTGAAAGGTAGAGTTCAGACTCGAAATCTGACTACTTACATCGATGAGTCATAAGTCAGCTTTTACTAAGTTACGAAATCGTGTCAGTTCATTTATGTTCTCATCTAAGTGAGATAAAGGCAACCGAAACCGATGATTAGTGTGCACAGTGCGATTTAATGAACAACAGCGACAACTTATTCTATTATTAGTGCAATATGCACGCATGTAGTCAGATGAGTTTGTTAGAGAATGCCAGCAACCGATTCCAGGGAACAACTTTACATTGCTAGTTTACTAAAATTTGAAATTAGTGGGAATATAGTTTTCGAATGTTCTGAATTTACGACATAATTTAGGTCTAACGACTGCAGTAATGCCATACGACTAAATTTTAACACCTATAATTTCACAAAACATTCTGTTTTATTAGGGGATTGAGATAACTACAGTTAGTGTCGAGTGGTGTGAAATCATATTTAATTCTATTTCCCAAGATGAGACATATTATGCCCAATCTCTGGCTTATTATGTATACGGTTTAGATGAAGGCTGCGATTGATCCGGCAAAGGAAGTCACGAGTAGCAGTGATGAATAGTACTTTAAACATTATTGCAAAAATCAATGAACGTACGGTGTTTGCGTTCAATTTAAAATCAAAGTCAAACCGTGATGAATGCTTTGAAGTGAGTAACTGATTTTAGTGATTATATGTTGTCGATTTTAAATATACACTGTAGAAACTTGGAATAATAATCGTCTATGCAGTCCTCCATATTTCGACCACACTTATGAAAGAGGAGTCAGTTGTCAAAACTTAATGAAAAGCCACAATGACATAAAATAAATAATGTTCCGGTTATCACTATAACAAACAGCTAACGTAGTTATTAAATGTGCTCATACAATTTTAACGAATTCATCCTTGTGTCAGCCATACGAAAAACTTACAGTTTTCTGAGCCACCAAGGGAGAGTTGACTTAATCCAGATTCTAACTCTAAGGCCATCAGATATTCGCCTATGTTTTCATCTGTGATTAGTGGTAGTACATTAGAATGAAGTGGCGGATTATCTCCCCAGATTCTGTGAATAAGTAACCCAAAGCAGCACCCATACATATATTTATCTAAATACGTAAAAACAATTGTTCCAGCCTGCTTGAAATATTCTCGAAATGTAAGAGCGACAAAAAGTTTTATATTACTCCAAACGTGGAAACGTATAACAAAAAGTCCGAAGCGTTTGAATCCTTCTCCTGAACTAACTAAAGGACATGTTTTGCAATATTCAATGTATTGGGGGTACTGAAAAATAACTTTTGGGTTTTGTAGATCTAATTAATCCATGAAGTTAATTTAAATACTTGTACCAAAAATAATTAGGCCAAACGATATCGAAAATGAGGGTGGAATTTTTCCATATGTTCATCTGTTATGTGATAAATATTATCTCGATGATTATTTTGGCAGTATAGCTTAAATCATGTGGTCCAAAGGTCTTATCTCTTCTCACACAATAGGAAACATAATACTACGCAAAACGCCAAGTAATTCTCACTTTGAATAATGGTTTATAAACACACAAGCTGAATATCTCCAAGGAAGTATTTGACTGGGAATTTGAGCTGCTGTCTGGAACAGCCTAAAGACCACAAGTTCATTTATGAATACAAATAGCTACCAAATATTTGTCGTCACGAAAGAAAGGCGTCCGGGTTCTGTGTCGGTGGTACAGTGATTAGGACTCTCGCCGACCATGCACACGGTCCGAGGTTCGATCCCTTGCCGACGCACACCTGATATTTATGATCGGCCTGCAAAATTTGGGCTACCGAAATGCATGCTGAAAATTCCATACTTGTGTCAAAAATACAGTGTGGAATCAAGCTGTAATTAAAAAATGTAACCAGAACAGCAGATATGTCTACAATAAGTTCAAATTAGGGTCATCGGTTAAGGCAGCCGATGCAAATTAATCTGTGAACGCATCCGCGGATTCCGTTATGGACTCGGCCAGAGATGTTTGGACTCTGTCAACTGACAAAACAACCCGCCAATCAAATTTTTCCCTATTTCGCTAATCATAAGTTCCACGTGACCGTCAGTCACCCGTATGCATGAAAGCGGGCCTATGCATACCTTTGATTTATGGCCGCTCCACATGTGTTATTACTTTTCCCCATTTGAAGCGCCCCTTTATTCCCTCGTTGAGGACCACAATGGTATTTATTTTACGTCCAAAGAAAATGAAAATTCTACCATAACCTAGCAGTTTTTAATACCGGTAGTTACAGCGTATCACAAACCACAGAATCGGAGATACAACGGAGATACATTTTCACCAAATGGTAGCAGAGGCACAGTCTAAAAGGGGAACAAACAGGTTTCAAGAGTGGTGGATCTCTTTCTTTTCGATTATTCTGGGACATGTGGGACTGTAAGACATGCAGGCCACCAACGGAAGGATACGGATGACAGAAGAAATTTCACTTATGGGTCCCAAAACATGCGTCAAAGAATTTATGCATTTCGCAATGTCTTGGGAATGGCATTTAAAAATTCACTGACAGTTTGTTCTAAAGTCATTTGTGATAGAAAGCACTGCAAGTAAGCCGCCTGGGAGAAGTAAGCACGGGAACTTATCTCGAAGACGCGAAGCATATTCCGTTAGTGATACATCTGAAAAACATCTTAGCGGAAGTGTAAGTAACAGCAACAGTCATTCAGCATAGAGTGACAAGTTTGAGAAAGTTGTTGTCTGTGCTTAATCCCGGCTTATAAAGACCGCTGCATCCTGTCGGGGCTTTCTGTGAGCTGGGTGGGTGCGAACACAATAAATTCTTAAGAAGGTTGCATGTGCCCTTAGATAAAAATACATGTGATCCTCTTAAGGTGTGATGAAGACCTTGGACTATGCACTACGAATGAGTCGTGGAAAACAGAAAGCCCTCTCCCTCTCGTAGTTTTCGAATGTAGAGTCAAAGAAATAACACCTTTATCTGAAGAAAGTCTCTCCAAATACTGTCGCAGTACCGAATTCACAGTAAGTATTTAGCTGCTAAGTACTCGGGCGTAGGTCAGTTGTTATCTGATACAACTTAGTAACTTGTTGACGGCTGACAAGTTATGAATGCTACGCTTATAACAACTGATGTCAATTTTAGGTTGTTAACGGCTCAAGGAAAACGGTGAATTGAAAACCTGTCCCTTTTATCCTTCAGGTACTCTTATTCATTCCTAGCTCAAATCGCTGTGGGGGAACAGGTGCTTGAAAATCATAGCAACTTATTCATTTCTAGAATTTGAACTCTGCTGTCACAGAAATTACCTGAGCAACAGCTGTGCGGAAAGAAATCATGAAGAAACAGCTGAACAAGCGGTTAACATATGTTACCGCTATGCATGTGTTGAAGAAAAATCTTCCAAGTCAGGTAACACTTATCCTGAATAAACTCCAACACTATGCAGTGCTAGAACAAGGACAGCTGACATGTGAGGGAACTCCAAGAACATGTGGTTTCGTAGGCGAAGGGCTGTGCTATCCTTTTCTGGCCAGTTTCATTTAGTGGGGGGGGGTTAAAACATTTTGCGGCAACCACAATAGACTGGAGTAACAATGATTTACAGCTTGGGCCTAAAAGAAACGTTGATCCCCCCCACCAACACAACATGTGAGTAACAATATACAGCTGCTACTGCTGGTGAAGAACGTCAGGTGACTGCCAAGATTCTAAGCTGGTGGCATAATGCTGTGGAGAAATGTGGGCTGCAGAAGAAAATATCTACAGATTCGTTGTGACTGGACAGTTTAACTCTTGGTTTCAGCTGCCTGATATTAGCCTGATAAACACATTTCATCCGTATCCTCATAAAGAATTTAGGATGTAGTAAGGGAGCGACTGACACCAAAGACAGGTATTTGGAGGAGAGGTATACCACTGATGTCAGTAGGGTGTCAAAATGAATGCTACAGATAAAAAGCTGTTTGCGTTTGATGAATTCAAGGGAAATACTGCTATGGTAAATGAAGAAACCTGGTTACAGGAACAACTGTGGAATATGATGTGAATATGGCCGAAAGGGCTATTTCATATAACGTGACCGACAGAAATGTACGCATAAAAAACAACAAAAGAAATGCATAAGCAAGAGTTGACTGAAAAGATAGGTTCGAGCGTGGAAGTTGTCAAACCCCACGTCTAACTACATTGGACCTCACACTGTCCTTGGAAGACTTTCAGGAACTATGCGTAATAACCAACGCAAAAAACCAGAACACAAATTGGTGACTCAAAAACCGTTAATTATTCCACCAATACAGGGCCAACCATTAGGTTTGTTAGCCAAGTCTCGTAAACCGTTAGTGCCTAGCTCTTGCTACGCTCGGGCTCACGCTGTTCCTCGAAGATTCTCAGAAACGCTTGATACGAACGGACTCATAAACCAGAACCCAGTTTGGCGACTCGAGAATTATTTCTTCTAACACCAACATATAGCAAATGTACAACTAAGATTTATGAACAAATATTACAATAGTAAATCACAATATTACTTCTGACGGTTTATTGCTGACTTCTTTCTGAACAGCGACCGATGAGACGATGACTGTCGTATTGATGCCTCCGCGAGAACATAGGGAAGTTGGTTTGAGCAAACAACCATGAATTGATCGTTCAATCTTCAACTACATTGACACTCCCCGCCATATAAAAGGTCCATCCCTTTTTTCCATCACGACCAATACACGTTGACTTGGATACCACGGACAGAGCTGAAATGGAAAACAAACAGAAAAGCCAACACACCACAAGCATATTCACAGCACAACCTCACAGATCAATGACGACCTGCAGCTTCCAGTTCAAGGTATCCTCTTGACATCTTGTAACACAATCTCCACTTGCTAGAATGACTCTTGCAGAATGCAACGTGACCATAGCACCACCTCATGATACACTACGCACATCCTCTTATCTACTCACTAACAATTATCACTGCGATCGCTTGTCAATCATTCTGCCTCAGTTCTAGTAACGATGACGTATGCGAGCCTCAGTCGTTTACACTCTTTCTCCCCGGAGTGTGGGACCGCAGCTAACAATTATTTCCGTATGCATTTCATTCTCAGCAATAGCCTCCCCGGCGTATACGACCCATCTGCTGTCCTTAGCATCAATCAATTCATTCATGGATGTAGAAGACAAGAAACAACTTCAGAAGTAATCACGACGAAAATTTTAACAAAATTATGTAATAACAACAAGGTACGAAAACAACGAGTAAACACAATAAATCCAAAAACACCAATTGATATGACACACCACACGTATATACAAACAGTACACACAAACTCGCAGATAGTGTCTCGATGGAATAACTTTGAAGAATCGCAGGACTTACACCAGTACGCCTACAACCCTTCTCAGGTTGACGATTGTAATTTGTGGAATGTCCGGACACAAACAAGATTAACCAACAATTACGATAATTGGAACTCACACAATTGTTTAACACAAAAATAAGGGCAATCAACACATCAAATGTTCTGGATTCTGGCACGAGAACTACACTTGAAGAACTCCAGGACTTACAGCAGTACGCCTACAACCCCTCTCAGGTTGACGCTCTAGGTTGGGAAATCGTCGCAGAGTTCATTTACTGACTTCCATCTGTCAGCTATATCCCCAAATCTGAACGGTAACACGCTCATGTCATTGTATCGTAGAATATAGGTAACTAACAAACACACGACATATCTCATCAACCAAGCGTAGAAACAGAGTAATTTACACCAAAGATATTAACATTCAAATAGTAATTTGAATCTTGAAATGCCTTCATTCGTGCAAGACAATTTAGCAATTACCCTCTCGTACACATTTGGCTTATCCTCACTAAATTGAGCAATATCTTCATCTTTTCAAGTGCACCAATACTATCATAGTCATAGCACAAGACACTTGAGTTGATAAGCGTCCTTCTCACTGTGGATGACAACACCAACGACGACTGATTGATATCAGTTGATGAAGTTAGCGGTGGATCAAAATCTGTTGTTGCTCGACTTTCAGAAGTTTGTCTACCTGCAAGACCACCACCATTGTTGTATTTTACTATCAGCTCAGGTTTAGCACTTGCATCTGATGACAGGAGGGCTACACGCTGACCAACTACACCGACTGTCTCACAAGTATCCATAAGATCTGCAACTGCATCTGTCAATGTAGTTGAAGATTGAACGATCAATTCATGGTTGTTTGCTCAAAACCAACTTCCCTATGTTTTCGCGGAGGCATCAATACGACAGTCAT